TTAAAACGATCTTTTTATCAGTCGTTCGTTTGTAATTTTGTTTTGCAAATAACCGTTTTAACCACAGATTTTAAATGATCGTTTGATTGCTAACAAACGAGCAGTTGAACTGTACTTCGTTTGTAAAAGAGATTACCAATCTGAAACCTTGGTCATTAATGATTTCAGATAAAGACCGGATGTTCCAAGAATTACTTCGAGCTTTCGTCTTAAGATTTTTAGGCTTAAATTGCGATTTTATATATAAAAAGTGTAAATATAGGAGTATGTGTAAGAGTGCATTATGATGGAGAGAATGGTGGACGATAATTAAGAGTGCTTGAAATGACGTTTCATACAGAATCACGATGTTTGTGGCAGGAACAATCAGAGATCTGATATATTAGAAAATCAGAGATTTGTAATATAACTTTTTCGAATATACACTAAAATATCTACTAGTGATTATCTATTCATTTTCATTTATGTTGGAAAAAAAAAATTTGTCTATAGAATTGGTCTGGTCCAGAGTTTGATATGTGTTAAGTTTTTGATAAAATGAGTTGTGATATGTATGTTTTACACGAAGAAATATCATTATGCGTTTGGAACGGTTGTGCCATCCCATAAGGCCATAATCCCATGAAAAAAATACTATATGTATATGATCAAAATAAACTTGGTATAAATTGTTCTACATAAGTTGTTAGCCAAATTAGTTTTCTTTTTAATCATAAAACCTTTAAATTTTAGGTTGATACATATATTCTGAAAAACAGTGATACTTGTTTCTATATTGCTTTTGCATCATAGAAGTCGTAGTATTGTTATTATTTTTGAAATTTTATTTTCGTTTAGGTAATAATATTTCATATATTATGATTTTTAACGTTAAAAATCTAACCAAAATAATAATAATCAAATTCTAGATGATTTATGTACGAATGAATGTTAATATTGCAATGCATAAAATAGAATAAATTGTCTTCTTCCTCAAAAATCTAATCATAAAAAGGAAACCATATGTTTAAATAAACAAACTGGCCTTAGAAAAACAGAACCTAAAATTCAAATAAAAACTACTTTCGTTCTTTTTTTTTTTTTAATAAGTGAAACATAAAAGAACTTTGCCTAAGAAATTGTGCAAAATAAATAAATGAAGTGTGAATAATTGGACTTTCTTAGTATTTGAGAGAAGAAGAAAATAGTCAAAGGAACAAGATGGGACTTCTGCTTGCAGTTGCAGGTTTCTTGTTTCGGTGCCTCTTGGCTATAACTCGGAGCTTGCACAATCATATTATTGTACTGCAAAATATTATTAATCTAAGGGCTATATATTGTTAACTCAGATAATATGATAATATATGCAAAACTAATAGAAATTTTGTAATTCAAATTTAAGGAGAATACAATTGCATTTACTAACAAATGATGTGAGATGAACTATCATCATTTTGTATTATTTTTTCGTACCATAATTTTGGTTGTACAGTCTAATGTTACTAATTGAATCTAGAATATTTTTCTTGTATTGGCAGGAAATTGTACAAATACCTAAACATAAACATATGCACTACGGATAATAATAGAAACATATATTTCGACTTGTCTTTCGTTACGGATGATAAAAGAGTGAGAGACATGGAGCGATGTCTACTGAGTACTGACGATAAGAATTGAAGTAAATAATACAAATACATATCAATATCATCGTCCTCTTCGTGACTCTCGTATTGTCAAATCAAAGCCCATTCC